TATTTGTCTATCTAGTTATCTTCACTGTCTGCATATATATATTTTTTTTATCTGATTGTAATGCTAGTTTCCTATATGCTTTGTTTGATTAGTTTTCCTTCGAACGCTTACCTAAAATTTATTGACGTCTTTTAGCAATGCAAGGTGACCAAACCACTGTAAGAATTCATTGAAAAAAATGCATTAAGATTGTTCGCATGTTTTTATATTTTGATTTGGCACGATTTTAGCTCTTTTATTTCCATAATGATGCATGCTTTTAGTCTTTCTTTGATCATTAATTATTTACTTTTAATGAAATTCTCTTTCTCATTTTAGCCAAAATCCCTCGAACAACTGTTGCAAGAAATCCAAGCCCAACTTCAGCTTGTAAGTATTGTTTGACATTGGGGAATTAATTGAAATTCTTTTCGTATGCTTTACCTTACGCAGAAACCAAAAAATAACGAACAACAGCTGCAACAACAAATTATACAGCTACAAGCCCAGACCGCACAACAATAAGAAACTGCACCACCACCACCAACACAACAAGCCACCCAACAACCACTACAGCCACTGCTCCAGATCGATGATTCCTGAAGTAGTATTCCAAGAATTTCTGACAAAAAACCTTCAGGGAACTCACCGTTTTCGGCAAGAATGTTATCAAAAAATGCCAAGAATTCAACCCTGGAATTGGTTCCGGGTGAAACCGACCATTTCTGTGCCGGATTGTTTGACCTGGGTTATTGAATTTGTTTATCATTTATGTCAAATATGCAATTTTGTTATTATTTTTGGTCAAATATGTAATTTATTTATTGAATAAAAAAACATGAAATAAATATGACATGCTGATATATGTTTGTTATAAGATATAAAATCAAACTATTGTTTTATTGATGAATTTAGTAATCAATGCTTTGAAAGTAAGCCAGGGTTCGAGTGTACGCGAGGCTGCACCCGCACCCTGAAAACGATGATTTGTCTTATATATTCTATAACGAATTCCGATATATGGCAGGTGAATTTGAGATTGGAATCGCAATTGTTAATATTATAAAGAAATATATTTCGAAATAGTGAATAGATATGAATAACAATATTGTATTGTTATTTGGAAATTGTTTTGCAGGTTATCTATAAGAAAAGCGATAGGAGGATTTTGTTATTGTTGTCGATTAAATATTATTTGAGTTTATACTTATTTTTATAAAAGTTATCTTGGATAATGCAGATATGAAAATATTAGAAAGACTTATGTTTTCAAAGAATATGTACATACATGGGATAAATCATGTCCAAAAAATATTTTTCGTTCGATTTCTGTAGGTACTGAGCTCCATCGAATGTTTGCTCTCTATATATATACGATTAATGCATCGAGTTTTTGATATGAAAGACGACATTTAAAAACATTGTAAAAAACTAAGACAGCTAAGTAGTAATATAAAAAAGATTAGTCTGTTTTTTATTTTAGTATCCATGTAAAAATAAATCACAAAAAATCCGATTCTAATCGTATATGCTCTGTTCAAACTATTTACGTCAAAACTTTTCTTTTCTAAATGAGTTGGATATATGTGTATAAATGTATTTGTAAAACTAGATTTGACACATACTCATAGAATAACTTCTACTAATGAAAGAAGAAAATTTTTGAAACAAAAGAATATTTGATTATATAATTAGTTTGCTTTAAAAGATGTGAGAAAAATATCATTTAATGATATATAATAACATAGGTATGACTTAACAATAAATATGATACATTCATTATGTCCCATTTTTTTTTAAATTGAGATTTTAGTTTATCGTTTTAGATGGAAATCTTGTAAATAGATATAATTTATTCGATAAAAAAAGAACATTATGCTCAAAATAAGTTTATTTTTTATATAAAAAAGATTAACTAAGAAAACGAGTTTTAGATTGAATACGTAATAATTAAAAGATGTATTCGACATATCTGTTTGATAATCATGAAAGATGCAGAATCTCATTATAGTATGAATAATTTACTTTTGTATGAGTAAATTCTTTGATTGTGAAATTATTTTATCGATTTGTTAAATAAAACAAATTGATCGAAATTGAAACACATGATTTCATGTTTAAGATTTGAAATAAAATTCTTAGATACCTGTTCTACGACGTTTTTGTGGTTCTTTTCTATTTGAATGGATTATATCAATAGTACTATAGTTCGCATTTCCATTATAGCGGAAAGATAAAATTCTCTTTATGAATATTTTCAAAAAATAATGTTAACCAAATGAAGATTAATTGATAGATTTTGCCACTAAGCTAATTAATGCTGAAATGCATAGCGTTGATGGTTAATAAAAAGAGAATATATTTTTTAGTCCCACGGTAGATATAACAAATTCCATGTAATCAATATAAAAATTTATTAGCAAATAACAGTTTTTATTCTGTTTTTTCTTATATAGATAAAATAATATATAATCAATGTAATGTAATGGTCAGACAGTGTCGTTTGTTTTACTGAAGCATCTATACTACAAATCTAGAGGTGTTACATTTATTGTTTGTCAATCAGTTTTGATGATATTCTTCGTCTATTCGTCAAACAATAATTCTTGATGGTTTTGAAAACAATTTGAGATGTCTTACTTTTGAATTGAGAATATTAAGAAACAATACTACATCTTTGAAATGATTACATATTTTAGCAAGACTTTACTGTTTATTGTTAGAATTAAGATCTGAATAATTCCGAAAAAAAGTATACTCAAACAAAGAATGTCCTTTCTTTCTCTAAGATTCCATGTAGAAGATTTCCAATTCAGTTTTGTAACATTCAAATGAGTAAGAAATTATTCTTTCGATTATTGTCCATATTGATATAAGAAGCGGATGAGTGTAAATGTTATTATTATCTCATAATCACACCCACATCCTCAATATGACCAACAGTATAACGTATCATGTATACATTTTCCTTTTAGATATGACAAACATCGAAGGTATCAAGCTCTATTACTATGAAGGAAATGTTGATAGAAAGGATTTATTCGTTTACATGTAAATCATCAGGGTCATTCGTTTCCCTTCTTTTTTCGAATAACCCAAAAAAATACTTTTCTCACTAAAGATCATCAGTTTATAAGTAAAATAGAAACATGCTCTATCCGTTTCAAAAGATTCAAAAGATAATAACTAAGCGTAGCGTATAGATAATACAAAATAAACAAATGTCGTTATTACAGTTACTCGAAATATTGAAGAAGTAGATATTTATTGTCATTTCCATATTTAATTTTGTCAGATTTCAAGTATGATCATGCTCTATTCAATTAATATGATTACATCCATAGAACCTACTCATAATTATTATTTTCTTTCTCAGAATAAATTTCCTATATATATATATTTTATTTTCTAAAAAGAAAAAAAATATATGGTAACTTGATCAATATTCTATTGGTAAAGATGTTTGTTAAGATACATTATCATTTGATTCGTTTATTGTTGTTCGAAAAGGAATATAATTGGTTCATAGTGTACGATGAGAAAAAAATAATCAGACAAGACAAGAAACAGAATGAATCCAGGCGACCATCACTAAGAGTTATACCACAATACTTTAAGAAAATCACAAAAAAGAATATCGTAATGTATTAAGAAGATAAGTTAAAGAAAGCTATTAGCACAGAATACAGGAAAAGAAACAATCTAGAGAGTCACCAAAAATTTCGTTAACACTTTAGTTGGGAAAGTAAATATTTATTGATGTTCATTAGTATCACGAAGACGATTACCCTCTAAATGTAGAAAAATTCATTCAATAAGCAACACATGTACCGTGCTACTGTGTATGTGATTTTTCATTTAATGAAAATAAAATATGAAACATCATCCTCTAGTACACGTCCACATCCGTCCTCAAGATTAGTCATAAGTTGCATACAATTCTGAAAACGATATATTTGATGTAAATTAGAACGTGATGTTCTCATTTTACCTTTTTACACGTAACTTTATGTCCACTCTTGGCTTCCGGAATTTTTTCATGACTTTGTTCACCATCGATTTCGTTACATATAAAAGCAAATGAGCAAAAGAACATTCTTCTATGTGCGAAGCTTGTAATCTAATTGAAGTTTATTTATTACACACACGCTCGATACAAAATGAGTGACTATACATAGATTGAAAAAAGAGAAATCTCTGAAATGACCGTCCCATAGAATAACGTGAAAGCTGAGATAACAGAGAGAGAGAAAAATACTTATATGAGAGACCAAAACGAATAAGGAAATATCTATTCGGATTCGATTCGGCTCTTATGAGTTAATGTTCTTTACTGACAGACTTTTGTCTATCTATTTCTATGGTAAACATTTATTTTTAATATTTTTTTTATCCACATAAACTTCATCTTCATTACGTTCTGACCACCCATGTCGTCGAAATCGGGTAAAAGTCGACGATTTAGCACCCGATTAATTGTGAGATTTATCGTGATAAAATCGACCAATTTGGCGATTTTTCACGATTTACTCGCGGCAGATCGAGTTTTTTATCTAGTAAAGACGATCTATTTGTGCCCTTCCATTAATATTTCAATACCATTTTCTTTTCTTCTACAGCGACTGTTGATTATCCAGGTTAATCAATCTGATAATAAGATTAATCTCGAGGGTGTGGGTGTGAACGGCTGAAGACACTTTTAAACCACACCCACCCCTCAATAAAAATATTAACACATCTATATAGTAAATATAGATTTAAAACAAAGATCTCAATATGTCTATATAATAAATATAGAACTAAAATAAAAATATTAATATATCTATATAGTAAATATAGAACTAAAACAAAGACCTCAACATATCTTTCTCACTTCAACATGTTCTTCTCTATATTTTCTATGATTATCTCGCTTATAATTAATAAAAACTGTTTTTAATAAAAATTCATGAATTTATAGTTGCCTGCTGTTATCATTCTTCTTTGATAATAAGTCAGACAGAAAGGTATACATATCTTCGATGCGATTGATCAAAGCAACAACATTTGGAATAGCTTTGACTATTTTACTTCTTTGGCATTGTGATGCAAGACGTATAAGAATAAGAACGGGTGAGTATACAAAATCTTCGAAAATAAAAAAAAGAATGTCAATGGATTCTTAACATAGGTTCTTCTGGTGGTTCGTCGAATGATTCATCATCAAGTCCGCTGAAGACGATTTTAGGAATTTTTGCTATGATATTGATCTGGGGATGTGCACTAGGTGCGAAAGTTTATAAATGTCACCGTAATGGGCAACGTCGGAATCATATGCAGCAATCAGTGGCTTATGCTTATAGATATCCACTCCAACCATTGAATATTCATCAGGGAGAGGAAAGAAATGTAAGACAGTGTAGTTTTCCTGATGTCGAAAATATTCTTACAAATCGTTTATTTTTTAGTTAACAAATATCCATCCATACACAATAGTACAACTACCAATACCATCCGATAGAAATGGATGGAAATGATTATTGAAAAGAAATCAATTGAACCGTCCGAAGACTTAGTTTTCGAATTGATTTTACAAAGACATTCAAACATCAATACCTACAAATTGAACTACTCTTCTTATTAAATATTTCACTTTTTGTACTATCATATAATAATACTATCGAAATTCATATTTATACATAAAAATTTTTATTCTCGAACTTTATGATCATTATAAGCAATAAAGACTTGACAATTCCTATATACATGATCTACTCACAATATAGATTGAAGAGAAATTTTATTTATCAAAATGCTAGTTTTTAAAAGCTCTATCTATCCTAAAAATTTCATAAAAATCTGAAACCACTTTTGTACGAAATGATTGAAATTTAACGAAAAATTTAAATGTTTACTGGTTATAGTTTACATAATCTATAACATACTATTTTATTGTCGTCAGAATATAACTACTTTTGTATAAGAATCTCTAGCTAATGCTGACCTCTATACATACGGTATTCATGACAACTTATAGGTTTCATTTGTAATAATGGTTGATGACAATTCCCCATCACATGAATAATTGTCTTTTCTATCTTAAAAAATCTTCTCATTAATGCCTGAAAAGTAAGTTTTATCTTTCAATTAATTATATATATATATATATGGTTATACATGAATTTAATAGAGTTCGAAATCGTCCATTGAGTGCGAGTCGTAAACGACGACAGAATAGTAGTCGTCGTTCGAGTTTCAATGCTGATCCAATCTTGTCCGAAAGAACGACATTCAATCCAGAATCAATATTACCGGCAACTAATATATTTTACTCCGGTCTCGATCTTCGTTCGACAAAAGAAAAACTCGAAAGTTTAGAAAATGAAATGAAACTACTCGAAGATGATTCAACTGTATATACATCTTATTCATTTTGATTATTATTTGTTTATGCTTTATTTTAGTCTGAAGAGCAACTTAATTCTCTTGTACTAATGCAGCTCTATACAAGTCTTGAATATGGCGAAATATCAATCGAAAATGCTCGTACATATTTAAATTTAAGCAAATTTTATTTTAATCATAAAAGTAATTTTATTTTAAAATAGAATAAAATTATAATATTTCATTTATCTAATATAGATTTATTACCACAAGCTAAAACTCATATTCTCAATGCTCGACAAATTCTTGAACATTTAAATATAAAACCTATCGATGATCATTTAAATCAAAATTTATTTGCTTTTGAAGTATATTTTTTATTAATTAAATATTCTCTACAAGCAAAACAACATTCATCACAACGAGATATTAAAATAAAAAATAAACATATTCTATCTATTGAAACAACACATATCGATCATGATCTTGAATTAATTGAA